CACAAATCAAATGCGTCATTGTCTACCGGCCTCTGCCTGGGTCTCCCTCTCCCATTGGCTGCGTACTCCCCACCTACAAGGGGTTCTGATCCTGAAGGGGAAGTCCTCTTCCAATGTGACTTGTCCTTCTGGCACTCAGAGCCACTGCCAGTGTGCCTTAGAGCCTGGAGGCTAACATCTAGGCACCCCCAGAGCAGCAAAGATGCTGGCATCGTGGTGGGCCACGACCACGGCTCACTATAAGCCTTGCTCCCAGGCTCCGAGAGTACTGCCCATTGCCCACAGCTTCACTCCATTTCCTGTATTCCTGGGGCTCTCCTCATAATTCCAACCTGGATTCTGATAGCTCTAGTTCAGTTCCCTGCCTGCCTTCTCCAAGTTCAATCCTATTTACTTTACTTTAGCCTGAGTCTCTGAAGTTCAAATATATATATATATATATTCTGCACAGCCTTGATTGACAAGGACAATGAAAATGTCTCATTCCCGTCTGGTTTGCATTTCATTACACTGGTCAGCGATGTGTCTTGGACTGGAGGACAAAGGCAAAACAGATTTTTTAAAAGGGTTGATTAACAATATCTATTTGCTCATTCTGTATTGTATTTTCAGGGCATTTAGGGCTTATAAAACATGTGTCGAATGATGGGAGTGTGGTGAAAACTCTAATGTGGCCAATGAAATCCGGAGCCCAAATGAGCGGTTGGCGAGTGTGTCCGCAGGTCCCCGGGCTCCGGAGATCGATAGTTGAGCTCGGCCCCTGAAGCCAATTAAGAGCTTTATCTTAGCATAAAAATAAAGAGGAGTTAAAAACGCATTCCTTTCCCAGCTTTCTCGCCCTTCATTTTTTATCGCGATGTGCAGTTTTTCTTTTAAAAAAGACCTGGGACTCTGAAGAGAGGGTGGGGATTTATGTAAAGAAAGTGTCATTTACCAGGAAGAAAAAATGCGAATAATGGTGAGTTTCAAGGACATGTTTCAACGAGAAACACTCCGTGCTCCAGTAGGAAGAGGCAGGGGCACCAAATTCAGCGTCTTGGAATAATTCCCTTCCTGGATTCAAAGATTCATTTATTGAAATAAATCAGGAAGCATTGGCAGAACGGAAATCCGCTTGCTGGGTTTAAAGGGTCTTTAAAATGTTGCGAGTGTTAGATTGCAAGTCTTTTCTAAATACAAAACAGAAGAAAAGACCGCAGTGTTTCCCTTGGACTTAAAGAAAATTGCTAGGTCTCTGACTTAGGATAATTTCATGGCCGCCACAGAAAATGGGTTTCGAAAGAAATCCTGCCCGATAGCACAACGTGCTGTACACGTTTTGTTTTGTTTTGTTTTGTTTTCTGAGGGGGCTGGCGTGAGGAAACAAGTGATGCAGAGTGGGGCCTGGGTTGTGCGGAGTAACCAGTTTGTCCCCCCCTCAGGTCTGGACGTTCTGTTTCCCTCCTGCTTCTCTTAAGATGGATCCTAAAATTCAGGCTCAAAAGCTTTGCTTGTTTGGCAGTGACCAGTTTCACTGATTTTATTTATTGCTTCAGATTTGGGCATGAGAATAAATCTTTTTCCTATTTACTGTTTGAACTCAGTGTGAGGGAACGGATCCCATTATATTTCCTATCCATACAGACATGTGGATATTTAGACCAGACCACATACAACTGGGGGACGCATAAAAGAGATTTATTGGTTAATTTACGCTGCCTAATACACATGTAAACCCCAGTAAGCCAACGCTGCTGAAGGAGCCTCGGTTATAGCGTAAAATAAGACCCACGACCCCTGGGTTCCAGTTGCCCTGCCTTGGCTAGCCCAGTGATTCCTTTCTCCACCTGAGAAAACGAGGGAACGAGAACTCCTGCCTTCCCTCTCCAGCCTGAGTGCAGGCAAAACTTTTCTCTGCTTTTCTTTTTCCGCCACCACTCTGCTTTCAGACACAGCTCCCCAAAGCCCTCTGCGCCCCGAAGTTCTTCCCAGGGTCTCCTCCGGAAAGCAAGTTGAGGGGTGAGGGCTGCAGGTAATCAGGGAAACTTCCGCTGTATCATTATTACTCTTACTGCCTAACAGGAGTGATTTGCTTTGGGGGAGGGGGCTTTGTTTTCATAGGCGGTAAACTTGCTCTATCTGGAGGTATTTCGCTTTCTATCTGTTTCGAGGGTCAGGGTTCCCCCTCCCAAAAAGGAAACCTCCACCCAAACCAACCAAACTAGAATCAGAAATGGTCTGCCTCTGTCCTGCTGTTCACAAAGCCCCCAGCCTCGTCCTCTCGGGGACATCTGGGGACCCTGCGCCTCCCTGAGCACCGACACCCCCTCAGAGTCGCACTCGGGCTGGGCCGGGCGGTCCCAGGAAGGGTTCCACCGCCCGGGGTTTTGGCCTGGCTGAACCGCCTCAGGTCGGCCCCTTAACAAGCATCCCCCCCTCCCCACTTCTCGGTTGATGATCTAATTGAATTATGCCTTTTTGTTCCAGGGACTACAGAGCACGTGCTGGAGGCAATTAATTATCGGAATGTGGCCATATCAAAACGGACACTGGGCACCGGGTAGGTCAGCAGCCGCAACATCCCCCTGCCCTGCGCTCAGGCCCCCTCCCCCAGAAGGGGCCGGCTGGGCTCCCTCGGCCGCCTTCCTCCCTCAGCCCCTCGCCCCGCAGTCCGCCCTGACTCCCAAACGCGCAAGGCCCCAGGTTCTCGGGGGCGGGGGGGGGGGTACCTGGCCGGGCTCCCCGCAAACCCTCGCACCAGCGCTGGCCGTGCAAGGGCCTGACAGCTACCCCCACCCCGCCCCCCGAGCCTCGAGCACCGCTCTCCTCTGCACTGGTGACCGGAGGAAATCCAAACTTTTTCTACGCAACTCCGCGCCCAGGGTCCGTGGGGGTCGGTGGGAGGTGAAGAGAGGTAGAGGGAAGGAAGGATAGAAAGGGCAAAGTGAAAAGAAAGGGGGAAAGAAAGAAAAGCAATCCTCCCTTTTTGTAAACCTGACTCCAGGGAATTCATTTGCATGATTTAGGCATATTTGTTCTTCTCTGAGTCCCCTCCCCCCCCCTGCAAAGAAGCCTTCTGCTGAGCGACACTGAAACCGTTCTTGGAGAGCCTATTTTCAGTAGATGGAATCATTTAAGTCAGTAGTGAACTCACCTTCCAACCTGGGGAGAGAGCTGTGGATGGAGAGGGAGAATTGGGGCGAGTTTGATGGGAGGGGGTGACTACGGTAAGTGTGCTACCGGCAGGGTTTCCCCCCAGCAAAATGGCAAAGAAAAAAGGTGAAGTCTTGGCCAGGCCCGGCGGATTGGGGGGCAGGAAGTGAAAGGCCGCAGTTAGAAAGCGCTGCTTGAGGCTGTCTCTCCAAGCGCCTCTGAACTTGATCAGATGTTCTGTTTCCTACAGAGAGATGGCGGCCAGCCTGTGAGGCTGACTCAAGGCGCAGACTTTGGGGGCTCGGCCCTGTTCGAGATGTGACAATCACAGCCATCTTTCTGTGGGCCTTTTCTTTCCACTCCCACTCTCCGGCATTCTTTGCAAATAGCCTGCCGGACAAAAAATGAGTGGATTTATAGCCCTGTCTGAACGTGGCCATTAAGTCCAGAAAGACCTAGCACCAGGCGGGGTGGGGTGTGTGTGGGGGGGTGTGCTTCAACACACAACTCTGGAAGGTAAATCCTCAAGGGGTAAGAATTCCCTGAGGTCACTATGTGCTTGTCTGGGTAGGAGTAGAAGAGAGCAAAGCCTTGGCTGTTCAGAGAGAAGGAAATTCCACCTCACAGTCTCCATTCCTGCCCCCCCCCCCCGCCCACTTCTGCATTTGAAAATGTTGAGAATTCGAAGCCGATTACCCTTTGGGTTGGAAACCACGCTGATCTAGTGTGTGTCTAGTGAGTTTGCTATGTAGTGTGTTTAGTGTGTTGTGTGCGCAGGCTAAGTGCATTCTGTGCGTGTTTAGTTATTTGTACTTGTGTCTGTGTTTGCTGTGTTATGTGCGTGTATTTACTGTTGTGGGTTCCGTTTGTCGTGTGCCTGTGTTTTTACCGTTTTGTGTGTAGTTTGTTGTGGTACTGGTTTGTGCGTGCTTACGCTTCTGTTTAGCTCTGTGAGTGTTAACCGTGCTGCGTGAGTGTTCCCAGCGACGTGCTTGCGTTTACGATGTTGTATGTTTGCTGAGCTGTGGCTGGTGTGTCATATATGGGGGGGGGGGCAGGGGCAGCGGCGAGTAGAGCCACCACTCACAAACTAAGGAGTCGACGCTTGGCTCAGACGGAAGTAAGGGAAATCGGCTCTAATTGTAACCGTTTCTCCTCGCTTGGGCCTCGGACGGCCAGCAGCGGCTCGGGGCCCGCACGGCGAGCTGGCCGGCCCGGGTCCGTGGTCTCGGAGCCATCAGGGCCCACGGTGGCGTGTGGGGAGGACGCGGCTAATGGGCCGTGAACCTGGAACTGCTACGCTCGCCCCAGGATCGGCGCCCTGCGGCGGCCGAGAGGGCGCCTTCTGCGGGTGGTGAGGCGGCGGGGGCCCAAGCGGGCCTGGACGTCCAGCGCCGCGCCGACGGTGGGAACGATCCTCGCGGGGCAAAGAGTGCGTTTGGCCAAAGCGGGTAAAGCGCGTGAGGGGTTGCCTGCCCGCTTCGGGCCGGAGGGAAGCCAGGGAGAGGCCCGGCGCCGCCCCGCCGGCCGCTGACTCGAGCCTGGCTCCAGTTCCCCACCGCAGCGCAAGCTCCGCGGAGCCCACTCGCGGGCGCCCG